CTTCCGCAGATACACTGAGGGACAAACAAGCGTGGGTACATGTGGAGAAATGTGGAGAGATGTGGCCAGGGGAAGAGAGGAGAAGCAAGAGATAGACATTCCAGGCAGAAATGAGGGAGGCATGAGAGATAAGGAGGGAGATAACGGGAGTTTAAGCACTGAGGGCACCACAGAAAGATGCTTCGGGTTGGACGGATGAATGAGTGAAGAAGAAAAGCACCAGCCTAGGGGGCAATGAGGAGCTAGAAGGGGGGAGGCAAGGAGCGAGGAGGCTTCTCCTTCGGGGCGAGTATGTCTACTAACCTCCTTCTTTTCCTACCAGAAGTTCCCAAATGGCCTCCCACTCATCAGTTCTATGGCCCAGACCCTCACACTCAGTAAGTGTTCCCAAGCCTCTCTCTTAATTTAAGATGGGGGAAGGGCAGTTAGACCTGGGATGGGGTGGGGTGGGGAGAACTTAAAACTTTGGTTTGGGAGGAAAGGGAACAGGGGTCTGAGTGCACAGATGCTTGCTGGGAAACCTAAGGGTCTCATCCTTGGCTTTGTCCCTCTCCCTCCAGGATCATCTTCTCAAAACTCGAGTGACAAGCCTGTAGCCCACGTCGTAGGTAAGATCTCTTCGAATGTGTCTTGGGGGTGAAGGGGCAGGATTTGGGGGGTGGGGTGGGGAACGAGCCAGGCTGAGAGAAGACAGCAGGTGAGAGAGTCAAGCGGTGATTCAAAAGCAAGGCACTAGGCAGCCATCCCGGGGGACCTCATAGCCAATGGGATGTTAGAAAGACAGAGGGTGCAGGAACCGGAAGTGAAGTGTGGGTAGAAGTTGAAGCTCAGGATGTGGAGTGTGAACTAAGAGGGTGACACTGACTCAATTCTCCCTCCCTCAGCAAACCACCAAGTGGAGGAACAGCTGGAGTGGCTGAGCCAGCGTGCCAACGCCCTCCTGGCCAACGGCATGGATCTCAAAGACAACCAACTCGTGGTGCCGGCAGACGGGCTGTACCTTGTCTACTCCCAGGTTCTCTTCAAGGGACAAGGCTGCCCCGACTACGTGCTGCTCACCCACACCGTCAGCCGATTTGCTATCTCATACCAGGAGAAAGTCAACCTCCTCTCAGCCATCAAGAGCCCCTGCCCCAAGGACACCCCTGAGGGGGCTGATCTCAAGCCCTGGTATGAGCCCATATACCTGGGAGGGGTCTTCCAGCTGGAGAAGGGGGACCAACTCAGCGCTGAGGTCAATCTGCCCAAGTACTTAGACTTTGCCGAGTCCGGGCAGGTCTACTTTGGAGTCATTGCTCTGTGAAGCGAATGAGTATCCATCCGTTCTCTACCCAGCCCCCACTATGACCCCTTTCCTCCGACCCCTTTCTTGTCTACTCCTCAGAGCCCCCCAATCTGTGTCCTTCTAACTTAGAAAGGGAATTATGGCTCAGGGTCCAACTCCGGACTCAGAGCTTTCAACAACTACGACACTCAGAAACACAAGATGCAGGGATAGTGGCCTGGATTGTGGCTTCTCACGCACCATCGTCAAGGACACTTTCAGAATGGGCTTTCAGAATTCACTGGAGCCTCAAATGTCCATTCCTGAGTTCTGCAAGGGGACAGTGGGTCAGGTTGCCTCTGGCTCAGAATGCTGCTGGAGAAGATCTCAGATGTTCCTACCTTCAGACCTTTCCAGACTTTTCCCTGAGGCACAGTGCCCAGCCTTTCTCACAGAGCCAGCCCCTTCTATTTGTAACTGCACTTATGGTTATTTATTTATTATTTATTTATTATTTATTTGCTTATGAATGTATTTATTTGGAAGGCTTGGGTGTCCTGGAGGACCCAGTGTGGGGAGCTGTCTTCAGACCGACATGTTTTCTGTGAAAACGGAGCTGCCAGCTATACCCACCTGGCCTCCCTGCCTCGTTGCTTCCTTTTTTGCTTATGTTTAAAACAAAATATTTATCTAACACAATTGTCTTAATAATGCTGATTTGGTGACCAGGCTGTCGCTACATCACTGAACCTCTGCTCCCCACGGGAGCCGTGACTGTAATCGCCCTACGGGTCATTTAGAGAAATAAAGATCACTTGGAAAAGAAATGTGATTTCTGTCTTGAGATGAAGTCTGCATCCGTCTCTCTGCAGAGGCCTATGGTCTCTGGATTCAGATCTCAGTCTTTATACCCCTGGGCAATTAGGACCCCCAAAGACCCCCACGGAACAAAAGGCAGCTAACAACCCTACCTCTCCCCGGAAACAGGAGCCTAACCCTAATTACCTTTGCCCCTGGGCCTGGGAATTTCCCACTCTGGGAATTCCAAATACCTGCTGGGAAAGTACTACAGTTCTTTCCGGCTGTTGTGGCTCGAATGGAACTGGGGAGGAGCCACATTCTCAGGTACCTGAATCACAGCCAAGGATGAACCCAGAGCTTCAGGTGTCTAACTGTGCACCCTGTACCATTCAACCTGCCCCCTGAACAGACAGGGCGGACACAGTACACGGAGAGGAGACCTAACCTCCTGACCTCCATCCCTAACCTCCATCCCTGTTCCGTGCTCAGCCTTCCAGTCACCAACCCCTTGTCTTTCCAAACCTCTGAAGATGGGCAGAATATTTTTAAAAAGACACAGGGCTGAAAGTGTGGCTCTGTAGAGTGGAGTGTGTTGGGGGCAGTGTATGAGATGCCCTGAATTCAAACCCCAGACAGCACAACAAAGAAGGAGCCATTGCTGGCTGGCTTTGGTTTCCCAGTGTTTCAGACAAATAATGAATGTATTGAGGTAGATGGAATGGAAAGAAAAAAAACACCTTGTTTAAATACTTTGTTTTTTTAAAATTACTTAATCACACATGCAGGGCCTTGGATTTGATCCCAACACTAATAATAATAATAATAATAATAATAATAATAATAATAATTTATTGTTGTTGTTGTTATTCAATAGTACTTGCTGAAGCATGCAAGGCTGACTTTATTCAGAATTAGTTATTGATGCAGAGACTTGTTGTGGAGTGTCTAAGGAAAGCAAGTGGGTCTCAAGAGCGAGAGCAGGGTGGGCGTTGGGGGGATGGCAAATGACTAAGAGAAAAGAAAAATCAGGGGTAGGGGGACTCTGTCTAAACAGATCAGACAAGACGCCTGTTGAGACAGGCCAGGTAAGCAGACATCACCTCAGGGGCTGTACAGGATGACTGAGGATGACCCAGTCTAGGAGAGGGAGCTTGCTAAACAGACTTAATGGGGTTTTTCGCTAAAACTAGATTTTACAAGGAAGGCAATGACTAGGTATAGAAGATTCAGAAGCCTGACTAGAGTTTAGCCGAAGTCGGTCGCCCTCTCACCCCTCTGGAAGGCTCCTGTGCAGAAGGTCAGAGGCACATGAGGAGTGGGCGTGTGGCAGTGCCTTTAATCCCAACACTTGGGAGATAGGAGCAGGCAAATCATTGAGGGTTTCAAGGCCAGTCGCAGAAGGAGGAGGGAGAGGAGGAGGGAGAGGAGGAGGGAGAGGAGGAGGGAGAGGAAGAGAAGGAAAAGAAGGGAAAGAAAATAAGAAAGAAAATAAGAAAGAAAGAAAGAAAGAAAGAAAGAGAAAGAAGGAAGGAAGGAAGGAAGGAAGGAAGGAAAGAAAGAAAGAAAGAAAGAAAGAAAGAGAAAAGAAAGAAAATGGAACTGGAAATGTAACCCCAGATGGTGACAGCCCTAATTGGGCTCATTGTTGGTTGGGCCTTCCTCCACCCAGTAGCCAGAGAGGGGAAAACCAACCATGTGGTATGCCGCGGGGGTGGGGTGGGGGGTGGAGGTGACCCACTAGGGTGACCTAGATAGAACCTGGGTTCCCCTCTGCCTCCTCCAGCCATGGTGCGGGGGAGACTGCTGTTACTCATCTGAGGGGCCTCCCACTTGCCCAACTTTGCGGAGGGGTGCCTGAAGTGTGAACCAAGGGTGAGGACATTCCACTTCTAGAAAGGACCCCAGGGCATCTGCTTCCTCCTTTAACTCCTCCTCAGACACAAGTCCTCTCCCCCCTCCCCCCGACATTTTCAGCTCCTTTGCTTTCTTCATTCGTCTGCACACTTAACTTGCCTGTGACTGACCTACGGTGATGCACGCCTTCAGCCCCAGCACTCGAGAGGCAGAGACAGGCCAAGCTCTTGAGTTCTGAGATCAGCCTGGGCTACATAGTGAGTTCTAGGTGACCCAGGACTATATATAATACCCTGCCTATAGATAGATAGGTAGATAGATAGATAGATAGATAGATAGATAGATAGACCGACCTACCAACCATACATACATTGTCATACATCATACATACATCATCCATCCTACATACATATACATACATACATCATACATACATACATGTCATACATACATACATCCATCATACATACATATGTCATACATACATACATACATACATACATACATACATACATACATAAGAGCTGTCAGGCAGCCAGCAGTGCAGAGCTAATGGGCCTACCCCACAGAGCCTTGTTTCACAGTCTTTGGAGTTTTTCTCTCTGGGAACAAATCCTGCCTACCAAGTTGACTCTTCTCACAGAGAGGCAGAAGCCAGGAGAAAAGGTGTATGTGAGGGGGGTCTTGTGGGGACCGGGTCTTTGCTACTTTGTGAGTTCTTTTGCCCACCCTTCCTCCCCCTGGTTTCACCCCCTAACACTAGATAGGAGAGAAACAAGTACAGAAAGGAATTAGGAAAATCCCTGAATCTAATTTCTTTCCTTTCGTTTCTTCTTTGACCCACAGCTGCTAACAAACCGCAACCAACCTCCCTAAACTGCCAACATCTTGGCAATCAGGACGCTGGGAGAAGTCTCAGGGTTTAATTGTCCCTTCTTCCGTTCTCCTGGACCCCTGGCCTTAGAGCCAGGGCGTGGGTGCAGCAGGTGCCCACAGTTCAAAGCTGGGTCATCCACATCTACATGCGCCCCAGAATCAAAAACCACGTCTGCATTTCCATGAAGACTCTGGCATGGGCCGGTATCGTTTACATTCTTTATTTTCAAAATTCATGTCCTACATTCCCCCCCTCCCGCGCCACGCCCCCCGCCGCCCGGGACCGTGGGGTCCCAGGCTTCCGGACTCTCCGGACATCACGATTCACACATTCGCACCGTCAGTGGATCCTTCAAGGAATACAGATGGCTGTCACCCCACCATCACCGCCCCGAAGAAGGTCTTCCCTCTCCTGTAGTCCACCATGTCGGGGTGACTGATGTTGACGTAGATCCTCTCGCCGCTCCGGAGCTGCGCCAGGCCGCCGAACCCCACGCTCGTGTACCATAAAGACCCGTACCCGATGGGGTCCACAATAGGGGTCACGGTCTCCGCGCCCTCCAGCAGCAGCTCGGGGGAGCCCCGCCCGTAGGCGCCCCCCGCGCGGTACAGGGCGCTGCGCAGCGTGAGCGAGCTAGCGCGGCTTCGGCCGGCAGGGGTCGCCCTGCCCCGGTACCCGACGTGGCAGTAGAGGTAATAGACTCCGTCCTGCGGCAGCGCCAGCCCGTGGGTGCGGGAGAACTGAGCGCCGCTCCTCAGAAACGCTTCTTCTTGGCTCTCCTCCCAGCTGAGCCCTTGCCCGCTCATCCAAGCGCCTGCAGAGAGAGACACCCGTGAGCTCTCGGGCCGTGATCTCTAGATCGGGAACCTGGGCAGGATGAGCGGGGACCTGGAGCCCTGGATCGGAGGGGCGGGATCTTCCTCACCCTGTGGTACTCGGTGGGGAGGGGCAGAAATAACGGTGCTATCACCAGAGGGGACTAAAGTGGCGAGATCCCGACGGGATTTTACCTGTTTCCTGAGAAGTCCTACGGAGGGAGAAGTTGGTGAAGGAGTTGGGAAATTACCAGGAGTGTCATAGCAGAGCCAAAGGACTCTCGCTTACTGTGGGGGTGCTTACTGAAGCTGGCACCCTTCAGGTCTACCAGATGCTTACCTATGAGGTGGGCAGCAGGAAGTTCGGGGCTGAGGTCAGTTTCTGGTTCCTGCTTTGGCAGCTGTTGAACCCCTGGATCTCGTGAAGAATCTGCTGGGGACAGGGTGGTCACCCACGCAGATGCCTCCTGAGAGGCCTGTGCAACAGGGCCCTGGGACGCAGAGCCTAGATTCCTGGAAGAATAGGATCTCTGAGGATGCAGACGGGGGTCAGTAGTCTCTGAGAGGCTGGAGGGTGAGGGCAAGATGCATGATGGTTTGTTGTCATCCAGTCTTTTCTGAGCCTGTGCTCCCGAGCCAATGATCTTCTCAACCTGGATGGGTCGGTAGGGTTACAGTGCCCAGAGGTCAGATTCGGCTAACGGCAACTCCACCCCTCCCAACGAAGAGCCCAGCCCTAAGGCCTAGGCCTGCAGTGCCCTCCCTAGAATGCATCTTGCTGGAAGAACAAAGCAAGCCTATGTATGCAGGCAGAAAGACATACCGGATCAGGAAGAGAAGCCAACCAGCAAGGGGCTTGCAAATTCAGGCTAGGATTGCCTGGAGAGTGGGCAAAGACAGACCAGACATTCCTTCTGGGGAGAGCGTTCAGCTGAGCCGGGTGTGCAAAAGCACAGCCATAAGTAAATAAACATCCACAAGGAGTAGCCCTCGGGAGCCCGTTGCAGCCACTCACCCAATGTCCCTGATCCTGGGGCACCAAGGCCAGCACAGTCAGGACAGTGATAGGCACTGCCAACAACACGGTCACCAGGGAAGTAGCTCCTGCCACAGCCAGCAAGAGGCAGCCCCTCCCCTGGGGCCTCCCACCCAGGCGGTGCAGTCCCTGTGTCCCCATCCAGACTCAGAACTAGGACCGGGGCAGGGGCTTTCATACCTCAGGTCTAGGGCCAGCCCTCCCTGCAGACCCACACACCTGCCCCCTGCCCGGGACTTTCCGAACACCCTAGCTCCCCTCACCCTGCTTCCTGTTTACCCAGTGCTGGGGCCAGGGTTGGGTGGCTGGATGCCTGGGTTCTCTGAACGGGGGAAGGAGATGGGGTAAAGAGGGGTTTTCAAGATAAAGGTGAAAGGGGGACTTAGCAGGGAGGAAAAATGAAGCCCAGGGAAGGAAGGTAGCTTTCAGAAGGCCGGGCGACAAACGAGGCTGTAATGGCCAGGCAGGACTCCAGGTGTCTCATGTGGTATTCATGCTTCTGGATCTCACAGGCCAGTGCTGGAGGGAGGGCTTCAAACACTGCACACGCACACACATGCACACACGGGGGTGAGGAGATGGAGTAGGAAGCCAACAAGTGGCGGCTGTGTGTCTGCATCCCTGAGATAGCCCTCTTCCCACACTGGCTGACTTTGTCCTGTCCCAGTCTCTAAAACCAGATGGGAAAGGCAGAAGTGAGCAGGTCCACAGTGGCTATGGCTTTATGAAGGCAACTCAGCCTCAGCCTCTTCTCAGGAAGAAATGAGGTGATGACACCTCTGTCCTGATAGAGCGAAATGCAGAGGTACCCTCCACATCAAGGGGTCCGTCTAGAATGAGCCTCCTCCGTTAGGAAGCATTAGATGCTTATGAATGAACCATAGGGTGAATGAATGAATGAATGAATGAATGAACAGCAGGAACTGAATTAATGGCAGCTGAGGGGCAGCTGATTGGAGCCTAGGGAGGAGTAGGCCCGAGGAAGGTGGACCAAAGTCTCAGGTCATCGCCCCTCCCCGGCGGCAGTCTCTGTATCCCAGACCAGACAATGCATTTGGATAATATTACCAACACCCATACCAGTAGAATACAGCTCAGGGCAAACAGCACTGAGAATGTGCTGGCCACTGGTCTACAGTCTTTATTACACTAGCTACTTGGTCTCCATGGAAAAGCTCTAAGACATCGAGGCCCAGAGATGAACAGGCTGTCCTGGGATGGCAGTGGAGCTCACCGACAGGGTGCTTGGCCAGTGACTTTGACTCTGTAAGAGGCAAAACAGCACTAAACCAGCATCGCACATTTTACTAGATGTAAATTTTATCTTCCTGAGGTAAGGAAAAAAAAAAAAAGAGGAAACAAAGACTAACTTGAGCAATTCGGCAGTAACATGAGGTAATGCTCACAAAAAGGAAAGATATGAGACGTAGCCCAGGGCTGTAGTTCACTGGGAGAGCGCTTGCCCAATATGCCTGGGGTCCTGGCTTTGGTCCCCAGCACTAAATCAAGCAGGCCTGGTGTTGTGGGGGCTGTAATCTCAGGAGGATGATCCGAAATCCAAGGCCATCCTTCACTGGTTGGCAAGTATGAGGCCAGGTTGGGATGCATAAAAACCTGTCAAGAAGGAAAGAAGGAACCAACATTCACTCTGGAGGCAGAGGCAGGCTGATCCGAGTTCAAGGCCAGCCTGGTCTACAGATCACATTCCAGGACAGCCAGGAGTACAAAGAAAGAAATCTGGTCTTAAAAACAAAGGCTGGGCGGTGGTGGCACACGCCTTTGATCCCAGCACTTGAGAGATAGAGGCAGGCAGATTTCTGAGTTTGAGGCCAGCCTGGTCTACAGAGTGAGTTCCAGGACAGCCAGGGCTACACAGAGAAACCCTGTCTCCAAAAACCAAAAAAAAAAAAAACAACAACAACAAAAAAAACCACACACAAAGGAGAGGGGGGTGGGGCATGTGACTCAGCAAAGTGTTGCTTGTAGCTCTAGGTCAGTGGTTCTTGCTCATGTTGCAACCCTTTAATACAGTCCCTCCCTCATGTTGTGCTGACCCTCAGCCATAAGGTTACCTCGTTGCTACATCATAACTGTTGTTTTGCTACTGTTACAAGTCGCAATGTAAATGTGTCCTATGCAGGACGTCCGCTGTGTGATGGGGGTCGGGACCCACGGGTTGAGAACCGGTGATCTAGGCGCGAAGACTATGTTTCTGGGGCCTGAAGAGATGGCTCAGCAGTTACGAGCACTTGCAGCTCATGCAGAAGGCCTGAGTTCAGTTTCCAGCACCCCAGTCAGGTTACCTATAGCTCCAGCTGGAGGGGATCCCACGCCCTCTTCTGGTTTCTGATGGTATTTGCACTCAAGTTTGTATGCATACATGAACACAGACATAATTAAAAATAAAAACAAATTATATATATATATTTGTTGTAAGGTTCTGTTTTTCAAGATGTTTGAATTCTGTGCATGCGTACATGTGTGCATGCTTGTGTGGATGTGCTCGTGTGTGTGTGTCTGCATGCTTGCATGGATGTGCTCAAGTGTATGTGTGTGTGCGTACACATGTGTGTTCTTGAGTATGAGTTCACAGTCACTTCAAATGCTACTCCCGGCCAGCCTTCCACCTTGTCTGAGACACGGTCTAGTTGTGACATTCTTTGAGCATTCCAGGCCCGACACCCCCACCCTCTGTGATCTTCCATGAATTCTCCATTCTCCTCCTCCCATCTCACACTATGGACTTTCACAAGTGGTTGCCACACCCATCTTTATGTGGGCCCTGGGGACTCGAACTCGGGTCTTCATGCTTGTGTGGCCAGTGCTTTTACCAACAGAGCTCTCTCCTCACTCAACATTTAAAATTTAAAAAAAAATGTAATTATAAAATATAAAAAAGCCGGGCAGTGGTGGCGCACGCCTTTAATCCCAGCACTTGGGAGGCAGAGGCAGGTGGATTTCTGAGTTCGAGGCCAGCCTGGTCTACAGAGTGAGTTCCAGGACAGCCAGGGCTACACATTGAAACCCTGTCTCGAAAAACCAAAAAAAAAAAATAAATAAATAAAATAAAATAAAATATAAAAAAGAAGAAATCCACTTAAATTGTGCCCTATTTGTTTAGCCAGGGGAACACTGGGGATGTGGTGTGGTGTGGTGTGGGAAGGAAGTACCACAAGGTTCCTGAATTTGGTTAACAAAACATGCATAGGGACCCAGGCACCAGACTCACCCACCCTGTCTCCATCCTAGCTACCAGCCTTCACTCTGTTCAAAGATTGGGGTATAGTTTTCTAGCACCCCTTTCCCTCTTGGTCACCGTGGCACTGAGAGACCTTCACCTAGGTCCCTACTGCTCAGTGCCAGAATGCTGCCTTCGGTGGGAGGTCCTCCCTGATGCCCCACAGTTTTGCTAACACCAGCTCGTCATCATCATCCACTTCCTGTCCTGCATCCGTCAGCAGATCTGGTCTGGGTACCTCTGACTCCCCCGCTCCCCAGGCACCACATCAATCTCCCGCTGCATATACCTGCCAGACACCGAGAGAGGTGCCCCGAGACACCCCAGAGCTGTCGGGCACTAGGGGTGCTGGGAGAACATGACTACGCACAAATGCCAAGATCATGAACCCTGAGCAGGCACAGCAGAAGGGGCACCTGGAGAGTCATCAGGGAGGCCCCTGAAGGAGGTGGACATTCGGTTATCAGTACAGGGTGAATTGGAAGGCTGGAGCTGAGGGAGTGACCACCCTAACGATAGCTAGGAATCTCAAAGGAAAGATGTAACACTATCTCCCAATGGTTATTCTCCTAGATGCGGGGAAGTATAGAGGCTGGGTAAAGAAGCTAAAACTGCAGGAGGGGCAACATTCCTGAGGTGAAGATGAATGCTTCTTTCCACTCTGAACAGTTGAATGTGTCCCCTCTGTAAACCAAGAGTCTGGGTCAGTCAGCTGGGAGTGGGTGGAGATCCAGGATGAGTGGGGATACCCGCTGAGATAAAGGGAACCAGACTATGGATCTGGAGTTCCCTGATCCTGAAGGAAGCTGTATTCAGACCCTATCCTCTGGGCCCCTGTGTCTTCATTTTCCAAAGATGTTAAAAGAATCTGCAGCTGAAAGCGGTGGCCCGCTGTGTACCATGTAGGCTGAGGCGGGAAGATGGTGAGCCTCAGGCCAACCTGGGCTACATAGCAAAATCCTGCTGATAATAATAATTGGATAATAATACTCTGTTCCATTCCTGATTCATCACAGCTCCTCAGGGTTCCCCCCAAACCTACAGCACGCCTCTCATAACTGGGAGGTTCTCGGTTTCACGCTGTTGTCCCTCAAGTGAGGGACCTCTATCTGGCCTCAAACAGGAAACAGCAGTTAAAGGGCAGGAAGTACCCAAGGAGAAGTTAAAGCATTCTTGGTATCCCACTACTTCACACCAGCCAAATAAGGTCCTCTCTCCTAGAGAAGGGCACCCTTCTCTCTGTTTTTCCAGAGGTCCCCACACCTACTCCAGACTCTGGCTCCTTTGCCATCGCCAGCCCTCTCGCCAGCATTCAGGATTGTGCAGTGTTTCCAGACTCTTCCAAGCCCCCTTCCCACTCCCCCACCCCCATCAGCCTGGGGCAGAGGACATGGGGGTGGGGGCTGGGTAGGGTACAGCTAAACACTTTCTCTGCTACTTCTGAGTCTCCCTTGGCTTTTTGAGACAGGGTCTCACTGTGTAACCATGGCTGTGTTTGAACCCACAGAGATCCATTTCTACCAATAGGACTGTGTTGGGCTTTCCTTGTTAAAATCTCGGGTTCCTGACCTGGGGAATGGGTACCACAATATGTTAAGACAAACATAAAATGCCCAGCTCAGTGAGGACAAGGATTGTAATGGGGCCCCTTGCCTCAGAGATGGGGAACTTGGGGACACGTGACTAACCCAAGCCATTAAGCCCAACTGAAGAGAGATTAGTTTGGTCTTGACCTTCTGGCCTGTCCTCAGTCCCTGGACTATGTCCGATAACAATGGAATGTAGTAAGTAGAGACCCCTCTGTTCTGCAAGGGGGGGGTAGAATGTGAGGGCTGGGGAGTGAGGGACAAAAGCAGGGTTCCGGGTTAGGAAAGGTGGTCAGAAGCCCTCAGAACAAGGCAGTGCAGGTGGGAGTGGGACCTCTTGAGACCCGGAAACAGTAGGGTGTGAGCATAGAGTCAGGAGAGGTAACCAGTAGGTGAATCTCTAGAGGAAGTGAGAAGTTGAAGTCTGGGTAACAAATGTGTCTTCGGCTGGGGATGTGGCTCAGAGTGCTCCTCGGCAGGAATGAAGCCCTGGGTTATAGTGCCTCCTGTAACGCCAACACCAGAGAGGTGGTCCGAAGGACCAGAAATCAAGGACATGACCTGTCTTTGCATGAGGCGTCAGGGAATTTAGAAGCAGCCTAAACTATAGGAGATAGTGCATTTAAAAAAAAAAAAAAGCCAGGCGGTGGTGGTGCACACCTTTAATCCCAGAGTGGGTGTGGAGGGTGAGAGGGTGAGGGGGCCGGAGGGATTGGGGTGGGGGACAGACGCAGGAGGATCTCTGTATGTGAGATCAAGGCCAGCCTGGTCTACAGAGTGAGTTCCAGGACACCCAGGGCTACGAAGAGAAACCCTGTCCCTAAAAAAAAACCAAACAAATAAAAATAATACAAAAAATATAAAACCCCCAAATCTAGAGTATATTTTCCTTTATCTAAAACTGTGAGAGGAGAGCAGAGTCTTGGCTTTGACCTCAGAGCCACATAAAACAGCCGTGGTGGCACGCTCTCGCCAACCTAGCACTCAAGACACAGGGGTGTGAGGATAAGAAGTTTAAACAGACTAGGAGAATCGGAGGCCTCCCAGGGACACATGAGACTGTCAACACAGAGAGACAGAAGGGTGGGAGAGACATGGGTGATGGGTGGGTGGGGGAGAGGGAGGAAGGACTTTGGGTTGGATATGATCAAGAGACTTTGTATATACATGAATGAAATTGTCAAAAAATAGAAAGAAAGCAGGATTGATCAGGGAGAGGAAGACAGGATAAAAGAAAGAAAGGGTAAAACCCAAGAAAAATATAGGAAACGGGGAAACTTACATTTAACCAGAGGTTTGGGAAACTGATGGGAGAAAGAGCCTCATAGAAACCCTGTTCCAGAAAACCTAGATAAAGACTGTTACCTGCTGTTCGGGAGCCTGGGACTGGGAGGGTTCCTCCTCCTCCTCGTCATCATCCTGTTCACCTGCATGTGCCGGTTCCGTCAGAGAAGTAAGCCCTACACACCTCACAGACACCCACAGCTTGCCCTTCACACCCTTCCTACTACTGGGGCTGAAGTCCCAGGATTCCCGGGGTGGGAAAGGCCAGAGGAGTTGTCCAAAAGGCCCAGGCTTTGGTTGTGGTTCCTATGACAACCAGAAAGTGAGGAGGGGTGGGGGGTCCAGTCGGTGTGTTATGGAAGGCTGTTCTGGGGTAGAGTCCTATGGGGTTGGGGAATTAGGGTGTGTGTGGGTGGCTGTTCTGGAGTTGGGGGCCTTGGGTGGGGTGCCATTCTGAGGTGGCAGATCCAATGTGAGGTGCTGTCCTAGGGTGGATGAGCTAAGTTGGGGTGCCATTCCGGCAGGGGGATCAGGGAAGGGTATTGCTGAACCATTTTTTTTTTCTTCTAGTGAAGAGACTGGAAAGGAATGTGAGTCTGGGGGGGCAAGGGGACAAGGGAGAACAGGGTGGGCGAGGGGGGAGGGAGAGGGGATGAAGGGGCGGAGAAGGAGGCGGGGAGGAGGCAGGGAGGGTGTGAGAACAGGAGGTGAGGAGACGAGGAAATCCCACGTAGGGAGTTGGGCCGGGTAAAGGGGTGGAGCCGAGAGGAAAGGGAAGAGGAAGTATGAGGAACGAAGAAAATTAAAGAGGCAGAAAGAGAGAAGAGGCAACCAGGAGGGAGGAAATGGTGTGTTTATAAGAATATGAAACATTTCAGAAGGACAGAGAGAGGAGGAAGTGAGTGAGAGAGGAAATTAGAAAAAAAAAAACGAGAGAGAAGAGTTGATCAGGACTACAGAAGAGGCCCTGTCTCAAAAGAAAAGGGGGTGGGGGCGTGGCTAGCAGTGTGGTTTAGTTTACAGTCCGTATCTAGCCTGTGTAGAACCCTGTGTTTGATTCCCAGGGCAGCATAAAACCAGAGCGCTGATACGTGACTGAAATCCCACGTAAGGCAGGGAATCTCTCCTTAACTACATATCAGGTTGAGCTCATGAGGCCAGCCTGAGCTACATGAGAACCTGTCTCAAAATAAGAGGGGGGTTGGGGTCTGGAGAGATGGTCCAGAGGTTAAGAGCACTGACTGCTCTTGCACAGGCCCTGAGTTCAATTCCCAGCAACCACATGGTGGCTCACAACCATCTGTAATGGGATCCGATGCCCTCTTCTGGTGTGTCTGAAGACAGCTACAGTGTGCTGCTCATTTAAATAAAGTAAATAAAGGGGGCGGGGTGTGGGGAGAGAGGAGGTTCTGAGAAAGTGTTTGCTATAGCCAGGTGTGGTGGCTTCTGCCCTATACAAGCACAGGCGGACACACTTCTATAGAAACAAAGAAAAAGGAAAAGCAAGGGAAAACAAGTTCAAGAGAAATAAAGAGAAGAGATTGAGAGAAAAGAGTGAACCGTCAGGGAGAAAGGCAGGTGGGAGCTGGGGCCAGGGGAGGGATGTGACAGCAGAGCCCCAGGTCCTCATGTCATTCTCTGAACCGCCAGTTCCAGGTCCCAGAGCAGGAGCCCCACTATGCATCTCTCCAGAAGCTGCCGGTGTCCAGCAGTGATAACACAGAGAGAGAGGAAGGCGAAGGCATGAAAGAAGACCCCAGCACTGACTATGCCTGCATCGCCGGGAGCAAACCCACTTGAGCGCCCCCAGAAGCCCCCCTCGCTCTGGGTGGGTGCCCAGAGTGGCCCTGTGTTCACCTAGTAAAGTCTGGCACCCGACTTCTGCGTCAGGCTTCTCTGTAGGTGTCCAACCCATGTCTCACCTCCCGCCTGCTGGGGGTCAGTCGTCACTGAGCAAAGGCATTTAGTCACACCCCTCCTCTAAATGCTATTAACAGCTTGTGGTCCCCGAGAAGGGAGAGCTAAGAGTGGAGGTGTGTGTGTGTGTGTGTTGTGACTGGAGAATAAAGAAAATACGAGAGTCCTAAGTGGGAGAGAGGAGCGGGTAAGGATTTATTGCTAGCCTCTTGAGAGTGCTGGATCATTGGGATTTAGAATCGCTCCTCGGAGGCTGCAGGAGGAGGAGTGGCGGTGTTTTCCACGTGACAGGGACCTGGGGAGAAATGGCAGGGGTTGCTCAGAGTTACAGGCCTGAAGCTCTCCTCTCCTCCTGCAATCTGTCCCTCCCATCTCTGCTCCCTTGCCCCTGATCGGCAACTCACATTTGCCTTGGTAATAGATGGTACTGCCCGTGGCCACAGAGAGAAAGCCGAGGGCGTAGAATCCAGCCCGGAGGAGGAGACTTGTGTGGGCCGCTTGCTCTGGGTTGGAGGCTTGCTGAGGAGGCCCTACAGCAGGGCGTGGAGAGGATGGAGAGGAAGGAGTTCGCGAACTCAGAGCAGGGGACAGTGCCTAACTTCCAGGAACACTACATCTTGAGGGTCGGGTTTCCCACCGCCTCACCTTTCTCCACCAGCAGCCGAGTCCCGTTTCCGGTTCCCACGCCCAGGCCTAACACTTCCACCCTGCACACATAGATTGCGGCATCCTGGCTTTGGGTGTCCTGTATGAGCAGCCCTGCCTCGTGGTCCCTAAGGAACTGGGAAACAGAAACAGAGGCCACGCGGCCTCTGAACCCTGGGGTCACGTTGCTCAACTCCATCCCCGCGGCTACTTTGTCTTGGTACCACGTGACAGAGCCAATGGCCGCTTTTCCTCGGCTGGCATTGAAGGAGCAGGGCAGGGAGGCAGTAGTGCCCTCCTGCGCACGAACCTCAGGGGGCTGAGACACCCAGAGTGCACAGGATCCTGGGAAGAAAGCAAATATCCAGAGAACACCTGCTCAGTCATTCCAAAACGAAAAGCATTCTCCACAGCTCTCCTTCCCCGTGGGAGGTCGGGTATCAGGACAAACACATCTCCCCCCTCCACTCCCCTCATGTATCTCCTCATCGCCAATTTAAATTTTTAGTTTTAAAATTCCTGCCGGGCAGTGGTGTCGCACGCCTTTAATCCCAGCACTTAGGAAGCTGAGGCAGGCGGATTTCTGATTTCAAGGCCAGCCTGGTCTACAGAGTGAGTTCCAGGACAGCCAGGGCTACACAGAGAAACCCTGTAAAATTCTTTTACACACTAACTCCCACCCATATACAGCCACCTTCTCCACAGACCCGTTTTGGCCAACTAGATCCCTGCAATACACTTAGCGCTCATGAGTGAGTGTAGCTGCCTCCGTGAGTAATGTCATCTGGGTCTTATTACTGTGGTAGGAGTTTTGTTTTGTTTTGATTTTGGTCTTGGTTGTATTAGGGCTTTAACCCGGACCTGATGAATGCTAGCAACTAACTCTACCAAAGAGCCACGTCTCCAGCTTCAGGTTTGTACCCGAAGCTCAGATCTTGGCTACATTCTATAAAAAATTATAGATACTTAGATTGCTTTGCCCACAATTAAGAACACATTTTGTTACATGTGCGTGGGTGTTTCTACCCCGTGTGTGTTTGTATCCACAGAGGGTATTGGAGCCCCGGGAACTGGAATGTGTTCCAATGGTTGTGAGCCGCCATGTAGGTGCTAGGGACTGGACCTGTGCACTCTAGGAGAGCAGCCAATGTTCTTAATCTCTGAGCCATCTCTGCATCCCCTCTCCCACCCCTTTTTAAAACTAGGGTCTTGTATGCTCAAGGTTGGCCTTGAAATCATCCCATAGCTAAGGATCACCTTGAATTTCCGATTCTTCTGAGTACCTGGATACAGGATGTGTCACCATGGCCTGATGATACAATGCCTGGGGTCAAGCCCAGGGGTTAGTGGTGGCAAACACCCTACCACTATGCCACACCCCAGCCAAGTTTTTTTTTTTTCCCCTGAACTTCACTATGTAGCCTGGGCTGGCCAGGAACTTCTTATATCAATACTGGTTCTCATTAGAGCCCTAGCTACATAACTTTCCAGGGGAAGACACAGCTGTAGTTGGCCGAGAGCTCTAACATGTCCATGCTGATGAAGTAAACCGATTATTAGCGTCTGTGATTCATTTAAAAAAAAAAAAAACAACTAGGTGCATTTACTGGTCATTCAAATGCTATGGTTCTCAAACTTGAGAGTGTATTGAAATGACGTGAAAAGCCATCTGTTTGAGACAGGGTCTCACTATGTGTAGACCTGGAACTCTCTATGTAAGATGGCATCAACTCATAGGAATTGTGATGCCTCTGGGATTACCGTCAGGCACCACCAGTGCCTGGCTGGTTTTCCTTTCTTTTTTTTTTTTTTAAAGCTAGAATCTCATTATAAGCCGGGCGATGGTGGCGCACGCCTTTAATCCCAGCACTTGGGAGGCAGAGGCAGGCGGATTTCTGAGTTCTAGGCCAGCCTGGTCTACAGAGTGAGTTCCAGGACAGCCAGGGCTACACAGAGAAACCCTGTCTTGGAAAAACAAAACAAAACAAAACAAACAAACAAACAAACAAACAAAAAGAACTAATTGGAAGCTGAATATGATATTAGGCATGTAATCCCGGCACTCTGGAGCCCTCGTTAGAAGTATCTCTGAAAGTTCAAAGGTCAGCCTCAACTACAGAGAGTTGTAGGTCATGCAGGGCAACACAGAGAGACCCAAGTTCAGAAAAGAAGAGCCCAATCAATCAGTCGATCAGTAGAACATTACTGTGGGCCAGCTCACTAGAGATCTTCGGAGGAGCCCACGAATTTGCCCAGTGTTCCAATGTCAATGAGCTTGGGTCTGCAATCTACAATTTGAAAAACACTGTGTATGTTCGACAAACAGCTTTTAATGTTACCTTGATTAAAATCAGTTCCAGTAAAAAAAAAAAAAAAAAAACAAAAAACCTTTTAACCTTAGACTTGTCTCTAAAACCCCTAATTATATCTGCACCTATTTAATAACCTAATAGACAGCTTACACAACAAATTAAACCCTCAAGAAAGAAAATTAGACTGGCTAGATGGCTTAGCCGGTAAAGGCGCTTGCCACAGAGCCTGGTGTCCAGAGTTCGAGTCCCAGGGCCCACGCTGCAGAAGGAAAAAACAGACTCTTGCAGGTTATTCTCTGACCTCCGAGAGCCTCAACAGTTGTGTTGAAAATAACTTGATGCATTTTTAAAAATTAAAAATGTTAAAGAAAGAAAATTCTGCTGAGTGTATTAGTACAAGCCCGATCTCTCAGCACTCGGGAGGCTAGGAAAGATCAAATGCTCGGGGCCAAGCTGGGGTACATAGCCAGGGCTAGGGGATATAGTTCATCTGGTAGCATGCAGGAAGCCCCCCCCGGCTTTGATCTCCAGCTCCACACAAGGTGGTGTGCCACTGAAATCCTAGCCCTTGAGAGGTGAGCTTGGGAAGAATCAGTTCAAGGCCATCCTTGGCTATATATGAGTTTGAGATCAGACTAAGCTACCGAGACCCTGTCTAAAAAACAAGCAAGCAAAAATAACATCAATAGTCAAACTCGACATACCAGCCCTTTCTTTCTATCCCCTTTCTTCGGGGCCTTTAGATGTCTCTTTCTTGAAAGGAGGCTGAGAAGTAAAATGGCTACAGAATGGACGATAGAAATGACCCTTTTGGGTGGTGGCAGGTGACTTAGCAGGTCTGGCTTCTGGAAGAGTCCACAGGAGACAGTGTTCTGAAGTGCTTTCTGCACCCCTCAGGGTTCCCACCAGACACCCCCTGGAGCATCTAAATCCCACCTCTTCCTTTCTTCCTCCTCCTGTCCCCACGCCCTGGTTCCCGAGCAAACACCCAGTCACCTGGAGAAACCATGATGAAGATGACCAACAGCACCTCAGCCATGTCTCCCGTTGGTGAGGCGGACGGACCTCAGCAGTGAGGTCTAAGTAGAGGAACGACTACCGGAGCCCAGGACAAGTAGGATTCACACTTGACTTGCCAATAACCTCCGTTGCTTGGGACTTTGGGGATCATATGCAAGTCCTGCTAAGGAGAAAAGATGGCACCGACGGACATGTCTGGGCTCTCTGGAGGCAGCTAGTGGACAGGTGGTGTGAGGACAGGATGTCCTCATGTGTGATTTTATAAGATTGGGTAGATGAGACCAGGATGTGGTTCTCACCTTCTGAGGTTCAAGACCAGACCTTCACCCGGAAAAAAACGTCTGATGCCCTCCAGCTGACAGACTAGGCTTCTTCCCCTCTCCTTTGTTCAGCTACCTCCAGGTCCATTGCCAAGAGCTATTAATGGCTATATCTGAGTTTTCATTTTCCTATCTCCTGGAAAGGAACATTCCCAGCAGAAACCTGCCTTACCATGCCTTCTTCACGGATGTACTTGTGAGAGATCCATCCGTTTGTTATTTTAGCCGCTGTTTAACTGCCTTTTTTGTTTGTTTTGTTTTGTTTTTCGAGACAGGGTTTCTCTGCATAGCCCTGGCTGTCCTGGAACTCACTGTGTAGACCAAGCTGGCCTCGAATTCACAGAGATCCACCTGCCTCTGCCTCCTAAGTGCTGGGATTAAAGGTGTGCGCCCCAACAACCAGCCTACTTAAACACATTTATTGGGAATCTACAAAGTGGGAGTCGCATGAGGTGTTCTTCACAGGCACGAGTGGTAGATGTCTCGTTACCCATAACTGCAGGTCACGCGGATGCCGGTACGCCCTGGTGTGTACTTTACAGACCCACAGGAGAGGAAAAGGCACCTGGAAGAGAGGCCTACATTGTAGCATGCCACATGGAACGAGGGCTCCGCCTCACCATCCATCCTCGGGCTCCTTTTATTTTCTTCAAATTTTTGTATGCTTATTTGTGTGTGTGTCTACATGGGCGTGCATGTTTACATGGGCGTGCATGTCACAGCATGTGTGTAGAGGTCAGAAGACAACCTGTAGGAGTGGGTTCTCTCTTTCTACCAAGTGGGTCCCAAGGACAGAAACCAGGTCATTAGTCTCGGTGGCAAGGGCCTTTATCCGCTGAGCAATCTCGCTAGCACAATCATTTTTAGGTTTAGTTTGTTTTTTTATTTTATTTTTTAAGATTTATTTATTTCATTTATATGAGTACACTGTAGCTGTCTGCAGACACACCAGAACAGGGCATCAGTTCCCATGACAGATGGTTGTGAGCCACCATGTGGTTGCTGGGAATTGAACTCAGGACCTCTGGAAGAGCAGTCAGTGCTTTTTTTGTTTTGTTTTTTGTTATGTTTTGGTTTTGATTTTTTTTTTTTCGAGACAGGGTTTCTCTGTGTAGCCCTGGCTGTCCTGGAACTCACTCTGTAGACCAGGCTGGCCTCGAACTCAGAAATCCACCTGCCTCTGCCTCCTGCAGTCAGTGCTCTTAACCACCGCTGAGCCATCTCTCCAGCCTTGTTTTTTTGTTTTTTTTTTTTTTATTTTTTTTTTAAATAATAAGTGTTTTGCCTGTATATGTGTGCACCATGTGTGTGCCTGGTGTCCATGGACGTCAGAAGAAGGCATCAGATCCTCCAGAGCTGGAATTACAGATGGCTGTGAACCACCCTGTGGGTGCTGGGAACTGAAGCCCGTCCTCCGTGAGAGCGACAAATGGTCTTAACGGCTGAGCTATCTTTCTAGGCCTTCATCCCATCTTTGAAACTAATGCATTTTTGCCCTCCTTGTGTCTGTGAGGAGCTCTGCTCTGTAATATGTTGACGTACTGTCCTGTTGCCTCCCACTGTGAAGTGACACATGACTCTGTTGGAGAAGCAATATCTCATTGTTAACAATGCTGGCTTGGAGCACTTCCGGTGCTAGCTCCCTCCCAAACTACTCTCAGCCACCTGGATAACCACACCACCTGGGAAGGCCTCATTGGGTCATCTGGCCACCAATGAGCTGTGGAGAGACCTTCTCCTTAAGGTAACTAAGGTGGAGGGTGTGGGAACCGGGTGCCATGGGCGGGTACGTGCTGCCCCCTGCTGGCCACAGAGCCTAGGACCTGAAGCATTGAGGTTGTTCTTCACAGGGCCTCAATTTCTTCTCCCAAGATCTTATTCTTCTTCACCATAAGCCTATGGTTTTGGGGGGGAGGTACAATGTTCTCTGGTTTGAGATGAACATTGTATTTTCTTGTCTTTTCTCTTGTTTTATGTGTATGGGTGTTTTGTTTAAATGTATGTCGGGTCACCTGTGTGCCTGGTACCGACAGAGACAATAGGGCATAGAATGTCCTGGGACTGGAGTTACAGGCAGTTGTGAGTAAGCATATGTGTGCTGGGAATTAAACCTGGGACCTCTGGAAGAGCAACGGGCATTCTTAAGTGCTGAGCCCTCAAGCCTCCAACCTATATTTTCACAATGCACACTTGGACACAGGGCAGTATTCTGTGGGCCAGGAAACAGTGGTTTACAAGTCATCGTCCTGAACTAGACTCTGTGTTCACTACTTGTGTGCACATCTGTAAATCGGGAATCCTAACTATGAATTTCCAGACTTCCCATCCTAGCTACCTAGTGTGTATAAGTCTCTCCTCGAACTCTTGTGCTGGTGTGATCCAGGAGGTGGCTGGGCCTAAACTTAAGGGGACTCTGTTCCCCCCTTCCCTTACTGCCAGGTAAGACTTCCAACTCTCTTGTCATGGCTATAGATTCTTTTTTGTTTGGTTGGTTGGTTTTTCGAGACAGGGTTTCTCTGTGTAGCCCTGGCTGTCCTAGAACTCACTCTGTAGACCAGGCTAGCCTCGAACTCAGAAACCCGCCTGTCTCTGCCTCCCAAGTGCTGGGATTAAAGGCGTGCGCCACCACCGCCTGGCATATGGCTATAGATTCTGAGACACTACATGAATGCTTTTGATAACAGCCCATGTCTTACGTTAGTATTGCTGTCATGAAATGTCATGACCAAAAGAAACGTAGGAAGGGCTTATTGGGTTGACAGGTCCTGAATTACACAGTCCACTGAGGGAAGCCAAGGCAGCACCTCAAACAGGCAGGAACCTTGAGGCCCGCGCTAATGCAGAGGCCATGGAGGGCTGCTTCATACTGGCTTGCTCATCATGGCTGCTCTGCCTGCTTTCTACAGAACCTAGGACTACCAGCCCAGGGATGGCCCACCCACAGTAAGCTGGGCCCTCCTCCAATCAGACTGATTGCAGGCATTTTCTCGGTTAAAGCTCCCTCTTTCAGATAATTCTGCTTGTATCAAGTTGACAGAACTACCTAGTTCAGTCCATCTAGAGTAAGCCATGGCGTACGTGTACGTGTATTCAAGAACAGTTTTCATTATCTCAGACTTTCTAGGGACTTCAATAGTTTTATTATTGGTTGATTTTTTTTTGACAGGGTCTCAAGTATGTAGTTCTTGGCTTGCCCTGGGACTCTATGTGTAGACCAGACCTCACAGAGATCTACCTGCCTCTGCCTTTTGAGTACTAGGATGAAAGGTGTGCACCAACACTCCCAGCCTTCAATGTATATTTTAATTAACTTAAGACACATCCTACTCTGTAACCCAGGATACTTGAATGTTGAGTATGTAGACCAGATTAGCCTCAAATGTTCAGTAACTTCTTGAATTAAAAAACTAGTTCTTGTCGGGCAGTGGTGCATGCCTTTAACCCCAGCACTTGGGAGGCAGAGGCAGGCGGATTTCTGAGAGTTCGAGGCCAGCCTGGTCTCAGAGTGAGTTCCAGGACAGCCAGGGCTACACAGAGAAACCCTGTCTCTAAAAACAAAACAAAAACAAACAAACAAAAAAACTAGTTCTTGGGGGCTGGAGAGATGGCTCAGCGGTTAAGAGCACTGACTGCTCTTCCAGAGGTCCTGAGTTCAATTCCCAGCAACCACGTGGTGGCTCACAACCATCTGTAATGGGATCTGATGTCCTCTTCTGGTGTCTCTGAAAAAGCAATAGTGTACTCATATACAATAAATAAATCTTTTTAAAAAATTAGTTCTTGGGGTTAAATAAATAGCTCAGCCAAATAGTGCACTGGCTGCTTTTCCGATGGACCTGGGGTCCACGACAGCTCATGTCTTTCCATTACTCCTGCTTCAGGGTATCCAACACCCTCAGTTGGCCTCTGGGACAGAACTGGTACACAGACATGCATGTAGGCAAAAGACCCCTGTCCCACCCCACCCCCATTTGTAAAGTTATTATTCAAACCAAACAATGGTACTTTGTCCTACATGCCTTTATTAAAAGTGTCACTGACTTCAAATCGCAGCACTTGGAAGGCTGAGGCACGAAGGTCAGTTGTTCATCCTCAGCTACGTGAATCCCAGGCCAGCCTGGGCTACTTGAGATCTGGTCTCAACAAGATGAAAAGAAAAGTCTGTGTGACTTTTCCATCACAGATTATTTGAGATCTGCCTGTGGGCTACTGACACCCGAAAGACATCTTGGAAGAGCGGGTACCCCAAGGGGACTTCTGGCTGCAGGGGAGGCTGGGCCACTGTGACCTCATGGAAAGGTAGCCATAGCGACAGGCACCCAGATCCTCCATCCTATTGTTCCCCTGTCAGGCTCCTCCAAGGCCCAAACTAACTGGAAGCCAGACGGACCCTCTGATGTGGTCTGCACAGGTCAGTCTCCTGCGCAAGGAGCGGGGCTGGGAGAACGGAGGGTAAATAGAAGGCTCTCAGGGCATGTGCGCGCTCACACACATGTGAGCACACACACACACACACTCTATAGTCACTCCCCTTGGAGAGCACAGAACCATTAACAAAGGCTCTTAGCAAAGGCTCTAATCTCACAGTTAGAACAGCTCCTCCCTGACTCCATTCCCAGGCCTCTTCTGGTACACTTTATTTTGGGGTTTTGGTTTTTCTCTTAAATTTATTCTGTCTGAGTGCAAATCATGACTGGACTGGTTAGAGGTCGGCTTGTGGAAGTCTGTTCCTTCCTGTCTACCATGTGGGTTCTCGACTTCCCACTCAGGTCTTCATGCTCGGTGGCAGCAGCGCTGTCGCTCTCGGAGCCCCGCCCTGGCCCTTGCTTTTCTTTCCAGACCCTGTCTGTCTCAGGCTCACCTAGAACTCCATAAAGCTGCTTGCCTCA